TTATAAAAATTTAAATGTAAGAGTAGCCAAAATTAAAGGAACACCATTCTAATCCAGACCACTTCATCATCTAGACAAGGGGTGCCCAAAAAGTAGATCCCCAGATGTTTTAAAACTACAGCTTCCATGATATTTTGTCATTTTAAAGGCATGCAAAGTATCATGGGAGTTGTAGTTCTACAACATCTAGGGACCTACTTTTTGGGCACCCCTGCTCTAGACTGTAAGCTTGTTTGACTGGGGTCCTTTTCATTTTGTTTCTTTAACATTTTGTAATTGTCTCATTTATTGTTAAATTTCAGCTCTGACAATATTGTAAAGTGTTACAGAATAAGCTCTTGCTATATAAATACTACTACTAATAATAACTGAGATGAAGTGGCCTTGTTGCAGTGTTTATGTCTCCTTAGCCCTGCAATGTAAGTCATTGGAGGGTTAAGTCAGTACGACAGCCACTAAAGGCGCTTCCACTGCATTGACCAAGTAAAACTCGATCACGCGAAGCGAAAGCCCTATAGGAAAACATTAATACAATGTACTGGGGCTGATGTGTACCATGGTCGTTGCTGCCGCCCAAGAGTAGTGGGAGTTTGAGCGCAGGACTTTTTTTTTTTATTCTTCATTTTGTTCGTGCAGTTATTGTAAATGTAGATTTGCACTGCCACAACAGCTGGTGCAAACAAGTTTGAATTCACATGGTAACAACGGTATGGCATCAGAAACATTGCACTTTTGTTTTTATATAGGGAAAGTCACAAGATTATTTTGTACGCTTTAAGTTTAACTGTTGATACGTCACAGTTGTTGCAAAAAAAACATAAAATTAAAGGAAAAGCAGGAAGTCAAATTAAGCCAAGCGGTGTAGTTTGGGCGGCTGTCAGCTCATGTTTACTCATGAGGAATAGGTGCACCTGTTTACTTAAGTGGTAGGGACATGGAAATGTCCTTTAGTAAACCCCCTTACTGTTAGATCTAACTTGTCATCTGCTTGATAATAAGGGGCCTTTGCTTCTATATAGTGTGTCCAAAGAGACATCCCTTTCCACATTACGACTTTATGGGGCACAAGTTAAGTACAGGTTATAGATTGGGGAAATGAGGTGTGACATGTGACCGGGCTACAGTCATGTATACCCTGCAGGTAAACTTCCCTATGCCTGTTATAGAGTAGAACAGCCCAATGGTCGCTGACAGTCGGTAGTGCTTGACCACGTGTAGCTATAAGCACACGGCTTAATTTCTAGCCCATTATTAGCATATAAGCTTACTATGCAGTGCCCAGTATAGAGAAAAGGTGAGATAATAAAAAAAAAAATATATATATATAAAATAAGAGACAGTGTAACTTATTAGAAGGAAGCATTATAATAGGATGAACTGGAGCTAAGTTGTGCCACTGGAGTCTCCGTGAGTGCCGCGGATGGCATACAGACAGTCCCGCTGGATCGCATTGACTCTTTCCTGTCTCTCCTCATGTCCGACCTGCAAGCCCTGTGAGAGGTGGTGAGATTGTCAGTCCCGTGTTCAATGTGCGCATATTGCCTGTGCCTCCGGTTCCACTGCCAGGAATGGTCGGTAACGGGATTCCTGGGTAAAGTGTCGTCAGGCTGTGGTTCGCGGATCATCGTCAAGGTGCTCTAGGCCCAGGTGGGCAGTTGCTGGGACCGGACTGAAGTGCCATGTACGGGGGCCGGTCAGCCGAGGCATCTCTGCCGCTTAGCAGGTTGGAGTAGCCACAATAGTCCAGGCTGTAAGAGTTGGGTGGTATAATCCAGTAAGCCTCATGAATGCTGGTAGCGCGGTCGGGCCCAGTGTATGCCATGCGGCCGTCATCTTGTTGGTCGGGCGCCGAGGTCCATTAACCAAGCGGCTCTGCATCGAGGCTCACTCAGTGTCGGCTTCCTCCAGTGGGGACCGGGATAACCCCCCACCAGTCCATAGGGGGGGGACCGGGGCCTGTGAGGGGTATCACACAGCCGCCGGGTGATTGTCAGGCATGTAAACAGGGCAGCGGCCGTCTGACCCGCTCCTCTCCCAAGTAGGCCGCATTCTCCAAAGTCTTGTACCACCCGTAGGGCCCCCAAAACTACCGATCTTGGAGTCCACTGTGTCACCAATGGCTTCTTGCACCCTTGGGTACCTTATACAGCTTAATTATTCGCAGTGAGTCTATTTTGCTGAAAAACGACAAGCTCAACAGGAGCCTCTGCAGCGTGCGACCGGTCAGCATGACTGCCAGACCCCGCACCCACAGGACTTGTTTTTGTGTATAGATACAATGCTACCTATGGGAAAGTATGAATGCATGTGTGGTGCTCGCTGCACATGCGCATGAGGTCCCCGATGTTCCTCTATGAGAAGCATTGCATTGGTCTACACTGGAAGAGGCCTTGCCTCCTCAATAACGCCGCAGGAGGAGGAGAGATGAACAGCGCTGAGGTAAGCAGCATTTAGCCTAAAATGTTAAATTCACTTTGACTTCCTGCCAATTCCCAGAAATTCAAAAGAGAGGAGGAGGACAGGCGGGGGTCTCTTTATAACCTTATAACATAAATGGTGCCTGACCAGCTGAAGGAAGGAAATTAGCGGAAGTAACCAGTCGGGTTACCCTGGGTCTGCTACATACTGTATTAACATTCAACATATAAATCTAATATATATGTAGTATTTGACTGAGATGAGTACATTTAACCCCTTAAGGACACATGGCATGTGTGACATGTCGTGATTCCCTTTTATTCCAGAAGTTTGGTCCTTAAGGGATTGCTAAAGGACTAATCTAAGCAATATAACATTTTATTCTCATTGCATAGGATAAAGCACATACAGGGAGTGCAGAATTATTAGGCAAGTTGTATTTTTGAGGATTAATTTTATTATTGAACAACAACCATGTTCTCAATGAACCCAAAAAACTCATTAATATCAAAGCTGAATATTTTTGGAAGTAGTTTTTAGTTTGTTTTTAGTTTTAGCTATGTTAGGGGGATATCTGTGTGTGCAGGTGACTATTACTGTGCATAATTATTAGGCAACTTAACAAAAAACAAATATATACCCATTTCAATTATTTATTATTACCAGTGAAACCAATATAACATCTCAACATTCACAAATATACATTTCTGACATTCAAAAACAAAACAAAAACAAATCAGTGACCAATATAGTCACCTTTCTTTGCAAGGACACTCAAAAGCCTGCCATCCATGGATTCTGTCAGTGTTTTGATCTGTTCACCATCAACATTGCGTGCAGCAGCAACCACAGCCTCCCAGACACTGTTCAGAGAGGTGTACTGTTTTCCCTCCTTGTAAATCTCACATTTGATGATGGACCACAGGTTCTCAATGGGGTTCAGATCAGGTGAACAAGGAGGCCATGTCATTAGATTTTCTTCTTTTATACCCTTTCTTGCCAGCCACGCTGTGGAGTACTTGGACGCGTGTGATGGAGCATTGTCCTGCATGAAAATCATGTTTTTCTTGAAGGATGCAGACTTCTTCCTGTACCACTGCTTGAAGAAGGTGTCTTCCAGGAACTGGCAGTAGGACTGGGAGTTGAGCTTGACTCCATCCTCAACCCGAAAAGGCCCCACAAGCTCATCTTTGATGATACCAGCCCAAACCAGTACTCCACCTCCACCTTGCTGGCGTCTGAGTCGGACTGGAGCTCTCTGCCCTTTACCAATCCAGCCACGGGCCCATCCATCTGGCCCATCAAGACTCACTCTCATTTCATCAGTCCATAAAACCTTAGAAAAATCAGTCTTGAGATATTTCTTGGCCCAGTCTTGACGTTTCAGCTTGTGTGTCTTGTTCAGTGGTGGTCGTCTTTCAGCCTTTCTTACCTTGGCCATGTCTCTGAGTATTGCACACCTTGTGCTTTTGGGCACTCCAGTGATGTTGCAGCTCTGAAATATGGCCAAACTGGTGGCAAGTGGCATCGTGGCAGCTGCACGCTTGACTTTTCTCAGTTCATGGGCAGTTATTTTGCGCCTTGGTTTTTCCACACGCTTCTTGCGACCCTGTTGACTACTTTGAATGAAACGCTTGATTGTTCGATGATCACGCTTCAGAAGCTTTGCAATTTTAAGAGTGCTGCATCCCTCTGCAAGATATCTCACTATTTTTGACTTTTCTGAGCCTGTCAAGTCCTTCTTTTGACCCATTTTGCCAAAGGAAAGGAAGTTGCCTAATAATTATGCACACCTGATATAGGGTGTTGATGTCATTAGACCACACCCCTTCTCATTACAGAGATGCACATCACCTAATATGCTTAATTGGTAGTAGGCTTTCGAGCCTATACAGCTTGGAGTAAGACAACATGCATAAAGAGGATGATGTGGTCAAAATACTCATTTGCCTAATAATTCTGCACTCCCTATAGTGTCCTTCAATCTTCATCACAACACACAACAGCCTTTACCTGCTGAAACGTGTAGAAATCTCTGCAGCTATAAAATATCCTTTGATCTCTGACATGAAAGTTGAAATTAAATTTTCTTCTGTGCTCTCCACTCTTGTGTGTGGCTTGGGCAAGCCAAGAATATGTCTACCATTACAGCCCTGTCTACTACATTTACATGTAATCACATGTACTTATAGGTGAGTTGCCATAGGAAGTAAGTAATGTAGGCTATTTAGGATAGTGTAGGCGATTTGAGGAACAATAAACAAAAGGAATATAACAATACCTTAGAATAAATGAGAAGTGGTGGTGACTGCTTATAATAAAATATTCGTGTAACTATTAAATATACCACTAAAAGGCCACAATTTGCTATTACAGAATGAGGAAGCTTGACAGTAAGTCTATGAAATACAGTTGCAAGAACAAGTATGTGAACCCTTTGGAATGATATGGATTTCTGCACAAATTGGTCATAAAATGTGATCTGATCATCATCTAAGTCACAACAATAGACAATCACAGTCTGCTTAAACTAATAACACACAAAGAATGAAATGTTGCCACATTTTTATTGAACACACCATGTAAACATTCACAGTGCAGGTGGAAAAAGTATGTGAACCCCTAGACTAATGACATCTCCAAAAGGAGTCAACTTGACATATTTTGCAAAAATCAGTGCCAGTCCTTGGTTTCTTGAGCCTCAAAAGGATGAAGACGACATACAATGATCTTTCCTGTGAATTAAAAAAAAAGTGGATCTCTTTGGTTTGACTAAAAGAAACACTATAGTGTTAAGAAAACTGTTTTGTATTCCTAACACTAAAGTGACCCTCTACCTCTGCGATCCTGCCCACTGCGAGACATGAAAGAGTTAAAAAAAAATCTTTACACACTTACCAGACCATTTCAATGAAATTAAATGGTCTGGGTGCCTATAGTGAGTGCCCCTTTAATTACATGAGGTAATATGGCAGTGCTGCTCTAGACTTATAGTAGTTAGATAACAAATATAGAAGGGCTTAGTATTTTTCCACCAGTGCTTTAGTCTTTAGCAGAATTTGCTTATTTAATGGAACACTGTAGGCACTATAACCACTTCAACTGATTGAAGTGATTATGGTGATTGGAGTCCATGGGAGACAGGTCCCACAAGTATTTACTCACTGTTTACAGAGCTTGGCTTCCGGCTGCAGGAGACTGAGAACCTCTGCTAAGTGGTGAGTAAACCGTTTAGCAGTGATGCAGTATCCGGTGCCCAAACACAATCAGTTGAAGTGGTTATGGTGTCAACAGTGTACCTTTAAAGTTAATCCGATAAAACCCATTATTTATAGATTATATGGATGACATGTTCACCTTCAGACAAGACTACATCTAGTGTATTAGTTATGCTGGTGAAATTGGCAGCAAATGTGTAGACTGAAATATATACTTAGCTGACGATCGCTTTTCCCTGCGTCCTAACAGTCCTGGCTGCCTTCCCTGGTGTTCTGAATCTGGGGACAGCAAGTAATTCTCTTCATCAAGCGCAGCATTTATGTATCATATGTATACTTACACTGTGCATGTGAAACTGGCATATGTGATGCCAGGTTGACAAGCCCCTTTTTTTGAATGGGATCAAACCTTGTTTTGGGTGGATCAGCTGTGCTTCTCACATGACCCTTATCATGGCTGTATACTTTTCTGTGATTGGAGACATGCTCTATTCTAACCCGTTATTGTGCCTAGAGCCAGGGCTGCCATCAGAAATTGTGGGGCCTCTAACACAGCTCAAGGTCTGGGCCCCCAGGTGCCCGACTCCAGGCCCCGCCCACAGGAATACACACACACAGACACAAAAGGACACAGACACACACATACTAACAGACACAAATACTGAAACAGACATACACACAAATAGACACATACACAGATACAGATACACACACTGACGTACATACATACTCACATACTGACACACACACACATACATACAGACATACATACTGACAAACAGACATACATACAAACTGACATACAGACATACATACATACACATAAATACATACTGACATACATACATACATAATGGCATTCTTACTGATATACAGACATACACATACACACACACAGATAGATATATACATACACAGATACATACATTCATACTGACATACACACACACAGACATACATGCATACTGATAGATAGATATATACATGCATACACACTGACATACACACACACACACACATACAGATAGACACATACACACAGACATACTGACATACACACAGACATATATACATACGTCACTTCCTCCCAGCAGCACTTGCGGTGTAGCCGCAATTTTTTTTAAAGCGGCCCGGTCGCGCAATTACACGCCCTGATGGGCCACCTGATGGGCCCCGGTGCAGATGCACCTGCGGCAGTTTTGCCGCTCCACATGGGGCCCCAGGGCTGCCGGGCCTGTGACAACCGTTATGGTTGTCACCCCCTGATGGCAGCCCTGCCTAGAGCAGCCTCTCTAATTCATCCCTAGATGGTCACCATACATGTAATCCTTACCGACAGTGGCGGAACTACCATGGTCACAGGGGTCGCAGTTGCGACCAGGCCCGTCACTCCAGGGGGCCTGGCCGCCCTGCTGACCCCTGCAACAGTGACCTGCCAAGAGAAGAACTGTGACAGGGGGCCCACCTAGGGCACCCCCGAATTGCTGCATGGACAGTTAGGCAGAGTAGGCACATGCTTACCTTGATCAGGGCCGGTGCAATGATTTTTGCCGCCCTAGGCAAAATAAAAATTTGTCACCCCCCCCGTGACATCACAATGCCCCACCCATATGAACTAACGCCAGTGCTGCACACAGTCTGTGTTTACATTGAAAAGCCTGCAGGGACAGGCTATAGACACCGGAACCACTTCATTAAGCTGCAGTGGTTCTGGGGACTATAGTGTCCCTTTAATGTGAGGTAAATTACAGATTATTGTCACTAATAATATACTAGATTGCCTCCTTACAACCAGATGAGGATGGTGATGGGCTCTGGCTGCAGTTTGGCTCCACTGGCCGCGCGCGTATTTAAACCGCCTATAGGAAAGCATTACTCAATGCTTTCCTATGGACGTTCAGCGTCTTCTCACTGTGATTTTCACAGTGAGAATCGCAGAAGCCCCTCTAGCGGACAGCCACTAGAGGCTGCTATGTTTTCAGCTGCAGGGTTAAAACTAAAGGGACCTGGCACCCAGACCACTTCATTGAGCTGATGTGATCTGGGTGTCTGTAGTGGTCCTTTAAGTGTATGTGTATCTGCATGCACTGGTGTACATACCGCGGTCGCAGCTCTGCGACCAGGTGCCTGCTGCCATGTGTTGCGGCCCCAGCCTGCGCAGAGTAAGCGCGCGGGGGGCAGGGGACCCACGGATCCGTTTTCGCACCGGGGCCCCATGGGTTGTGTGTACGCCACTGTCTATCAGTGAGTGTGTATTTGTCAGTGTGTGTGTCTGTCACACACGTGGGTGGAAGAGACCAATGGAGGGACTGGAGGGGAAATGAAACACGTGAAGAGGCAGGCGGGGGAATGAGACAGTGGAGGGACAGACGGAGGGATTAGACACGTGGAAGGATTTGCGGGAGGGAGAATGAGACACATAGAGTGGCGGGGGGCATGAGACACATGGGGGTGGGGGGGTGCAGGACAATTTTTGCACCTACCGCTAATCTTGGATAGGGCCCTCTGTGCCTTGTGTGCTTGTTGTTCGTGTATTATTTTCTGATTAAACCTCATTGTAAAATTGTTGCTGCTGTTCTTAATGTAACACTCAAATAAAGCACTTAAGCTTGCTGGCTCACATTTGCATAACTACCAACTTTAGCCTCCTGTGAATCAGAACGCAATTGTGTCACTGGTGCTGTCCAAAAGAGGCAGACCCAGACAGAAAATGGGCGGATCCACCCAAAGGATTGGCGTCTCAGCCTGGCATGAATGCATGCCAGGCTGACTTTAACACATCCAGGCTGGCCATCTGAGGATAGCCAAGCAGTAAGTACCATTTCAGTGCTCTCTGCAGGGTTATAATTTCCCTTAGCATTGTGTGAGTGCGTCTAATGACGCGCTTGCGCTATGGTTGTTGGAGACAGTTCACTGGTATCCCCAAAAGCAAGATGCCAGGGAACAAAGGGACCTGAAAATTAAGCCTTTACAGTCAAAATCAAGATAGGTAGAAGGCCTGCCTATATGACAGTTCATAAAAAAAAAAAAGGCAATTTTAATAGAAATCAACACTTTTATAATTGGGGCAGAAACAGCTCCCTGGCTGTCAATCATATGGCCAGGGAGAGTTTTCATTTTTTTTTTGCAAGCATATGTTCCTTTAATTATATTTAAAAAAAAAAAAAAAAGTAAATTATAACTAAAGTGATTGGCATGTCAACTGACTTCATTTCAACCGCGGTCGAAACATAAATAATGCAAATTATAGAATGCAACATCATGAGTACCTTGTACATAGGCATGAGCCATAAGTACTTTTGGTAAAATATATTTACTTTTATGTTAAGAAATTATTGTACAGTGCTGCAGACTAGGTTAGTGTTCTGTAAACAAAAAACATTAACAATGATAAAAGCATGCTGTGGTACAAGGCACAGTAAAACAGCATTCTATAAACATATAACTATAGTTATTTTTGATAAATGCTTTTTCTTACAGGGAATTCTACTCCACTCCCCAGGGTGATTTTATTAATACAGGCATTTCGTCAATTTATTATTTTTTTTTTTTTTACACATTTAATGCGGCACTGTTGCTACAGGAAGAGGAACAGTCAAATCATAATAATCAGGAAATAAACCATGCATGTAATACTGCTGAGTGATAGGAATATATTGTATATTACCCATAATACTTTGCTGGGTAAAACTGATTGATACCCCAGCTAGCATTTCCTGGTCCTGCAGCAATAACAATTCCGAGTACAAAACTACATTTCCCTTCAACCCCCGGAAGGGAGTGAAAAAAAAAATTAAAAAAAAAAAAAAAACAACAGAAAACGAACCCTCCCCAAAACAGAAAGGAGGGACTGTCGAAGAAAAGTGGAAGTGCCGTCTTGTGTTCAGAGTCTTCGTTTGCAATAAAGAGATCTCTCAGCTGTCATTGTGATTTGCATGGATGGGCTACAGCCTCAGGATTAAAGGGAATACTTGTAGCTGCTAATCCTGTGGGCTAGGTGGAGGAAGACTGGGTTTCGTCTAGGGGTGGGAGAAAAAAGGAATGATAGTGATCAAGCTTGGGAGGAGGAGAAGAAGAAGGAGGAGGAGGGAAGAGGAGGTGTAGTCCATGCTGCAGACACTTTTACTCCAGCTACATCATTCATTTTATAGCAGACTGGAGCCAGGGGCTGATGTCAGAATTCCTAGTAACATTCTAAGGTTCTAATCAGCCTGCAGAATTTTGATCCCTATAGAGGAATAGCCATTGAGACCTTCATTGTAGCATTTTGTAGCTTTACAGGAGCCTTTGTCACTAGTCTGTCTAGTAATACTGGTTTATGTGATACAGGTTATAGGAAGCAAAGGGCCTTATTACTGCATTCAGGTGTTACTATGGTGTAGGTAAGGGGTTAAAACTGTGGGTGGTAAGGTAATTAATGGTTTGCAGCCTTTGGATCCATTGCAGTTGAGGAAGACGTATCTCGTGTGTCCTCATGCTCTGGGATTGTAAGTGGTCCATGCTTCCTACGTTGCGACCTCCCAAGTCCCCGCATACCATCACCAGCCTGAAGATTGCCATGTGACTTCAATCCTGACCCACCACAATGTTTCGAATGGTCTGCAATCGCCTGGTGAGTACAGTGATGTGCTTGGAGCCTGCCTGTCTCCCAAAAAATAATGAGCTTGACTGTTCAAACATGCTGTTGCATACAATCTCAGGTATTCATTGCCAATGCAATACATATATTATACACCCCAGGAATGGCACTACAGATAGGCTGGCTTTCTAAAAAAGGTTAATATCACATTTTTCTCACCTGCCTCATTTCATGCTCTGAAGACTGTGGCCTTTTATTGTGAGATTCATTTAGAATTTTCATTAATT